ACCCTGGGCCGGGAGCTGGGAGCGAGGTCACCTGTGCTGGCCACCTCCCCTGGCACACAGATGAGCCAGGGACCCCAGGGGCAAAGAGGGCGACAGGCAACTCGGGGTGACCTGTCCCTACCACCACAGGAGTTGGAGGAACCGGGGTCCCCAGAGCCAGAATCAGCAGGACTCCTGCTACCCCGTAGAGCTGGAGGAGTGATATTTCGTCACCCCAGGCCGCATGCGGGCTGCTTCTTTCCTTTCTGCCCTGAAGTTTCCAGGGGTCCAGGTGGGGCGTGCCCAGCACCTCAAGGCCTGTCCCATTGCTCCCCCTTGCTCACACTCTCCCCCCGGAGGCCCCCCATGGCCGTCAAGGGCAGCGTGCCCTCGCGGGCCCCTGTCAGCTGTTGCTGCTCAGGAAACCCGTGGCCGCGTCACGCCTCCCCCACCCCCGCCCCGCAGTCCCACTGCCAGTGACGCCGCTTCCGGCAGCTTCGTGCCAGTCCACACTGCGCTTCCACGTGGAATACGAAGGCGCATCTCTGCAAATACGTGACCCACCAGCGATTCTGTTCGCTGTTTTTGCCCTGACTCCGGGTGTGGCTTCCTGAGCCTCGGCCGGGCCCCTCGCGTCTGAGCAGGACGGGGCCCGGGGCCGGCACTCAGGAGGACCCGTCGGTTCCTGCGGAGCGAGGTGCCGGGCGGGAGGCTGGGCCCCAGATGCCCCGCGACACCCCGTGCGGCCGGAGCCGGCCGGGCGGCACCTCCCAACGGGCGCTTACTTCCATGTCCGCGCCGGTGCCGAAACCGGAGACCTTTCTGGCACAGCCGGCCAGCGAGCGAGACCAACACGCTCACCGCCGGGCCAGGCTGAGCGGCCCTGGCGTCCGAGGCCCCCTCCCGCCGCCCATCAGCCTTCCCAGCCGCGCTGACGGCCGGGGCTGACCGGCGCTTCGAGCGTCCCGTGTCCGGCCTGGAGAAATGTCCGCACCAGTTTCTCACAGTGTCCCTTATGTGAGGCAAATCTTGCTTTTCTCAGGTCATCATAAATGCCGAGGCGGCTTTCTCGCTGTGTCGCGCCACGGCCATGTCTCTTTAGAGTGGCTTGAGCAGGGACAGTCCTTCAGGCTTCCTTTGAGTATCATGAGGTTGCCATTTTGAAGTTGTTTTGTCAGTGCGCCTGGCCTTGAACTCGGCGTGTTTCCTGTCCGGGCCCCGGGCTACCCTGCAGGAGCCCCAAGAGGGACGAGGTGTTCTTTGTGCCTCGGCTCAGGGCTCCCACTGTTGTCTTTCCCGTTTCTGGTGATGCTAATTTTGGCCACAGGAGATCGTATCGGGCCGTAGAGAAAAAGTTTCCTTCAATGAGGTCAAGTTTACCTCCAGTGCGAAGCCCACACCTTCAGTGCCCGGCTCACACGGGCTGTGGGTCCCTCAGTGTACCTGGAGCCCTCATCACGGTGACGTAGTTTGCATCTCGCTCTTTTTTCTTTTTTTAAAGATTTATTTATTTGTGCATACAGAACTGGG